CGGCACGGTCTATCTAAGTCGGGAGGCGTGGGTTGAGTACGTCACCCACTGGGCCTTAGGTTGGTATCGGGCGGACCATTGGGAGTTACGCGCGGGGCCTATCCTGAGGCGGATCTTCAAGGAGGTGCCCCTTCAGCATAGCCTGCCGTTTCGCTTGCGGGTGACTTGCGCTTGGGATGACGAATACCCTCGCGCCGCGGGTTGCGTCCAGGCTATATTCCCTTCTTACGTCTTCAGGAGGGTGTGTGGAGAGGGGGGTGCGTACAAGAAAGTCGTGAGGTCTATAAGGCGGGAGAGAAGGAGGGGTCTGTCCTTTCGTTCGCTCCATTGGTTCTACTCCTATTGTGTGGACAACCCTGTACCATATGGAGTTAGGGCCGACCGGATCCGAGAGAGAATATCCCTAGAGTCCGAGCGGGACCGCGAGGGCGGGAGAGACTACCGTTACCAAAGTGTATTCGGAGTCCGCCAAAAGGTAGGTTAGAATGAATGGTTCCATTTGACCGGAGCGTCGGTGGATTTGTCGAGTCCCCTCTAGACGAGCGAGGGGTGTGTAGCTTAGTGCCAAGCAACGGAGGAATCCCCGATTGGAGAAGATTAGAGGGGGGGGGGGATTGATGCAAGAGGGAATTTCCTGTGGGTAGAATCGGAAGAGGCGAAAGGGAGAACGGTTGAGGTGCATCTCAAGGTCACCTCGATAATCTTCGTCAAGCCAGGTGCTTGGTCGAAGGTTATAGTATCCCTGGTCTTGGGCCAAGGGGGTGGGATGGACTTATTAATCGGAGAGGCTAGAAAAATCAGAAGCAGGTGGATAGATAGGGTCCGGAAGGAGTTTGGGTTTGTGGCAATAGAGGCGGAAAGGTTCGCTAGGGCAGGCGAACTCCCAAGGGCGAGTTACCCCGTGACAGTGTGGGTCCCGGACTTTGTGTTCTCAAGTGAGAACGAGGGAAGAGTGGTGAAACTCCTAGAAAGAGGAAGGAGTTTAGGATTACTTTTTGGGGCCCTGTGGATACTATACACACATTGTATCGATCACGGAATCCCGCCGCCAGGGAAACTCTGGGAAATTCTTAGGAGATTAAGGTCCCTGGAAAAAACCGTTACCCTCTCACCGGAGAGATACCGCGAATGGGTTTTCAAACGGCACCGATAGATGATGAGATTCGTGCTCTGCGAAAACGGAGTAGTAGAAGCTATAGAAGCCGGTGACGCGGGGAAAGTCTTGATCCCAGGGGACCCTCGTGTGATGCCCTACTGGATGAGCGTTGAGAAAGGAGGAGTCATCCGTGAAGGCGCCTACGTGTGGGTTCGAGCTCGCAGGCTTGCCTGGAAAGAAGGAGTGCAAAGAGGAGGTCCGCCTGACCTCGGTCGGAGTGCTCCATGTGGACCTGCCCCAATTCCTGACACGCTCATTCTTACGTGACCCGGAAGAGAAAGTGGTGGTTGTACCCCGAGCCGCTCAGGAATCCGGAGTACGGACGAGAGGACTGTTCTGGCTCTACACATGGTGTGTGGACGCTGGGGTTCCCCCTAGGGGAGAGCTACCCCCTATATTCGAGAGGTTGAGAGAGTTTGAGGGGATCCGAACTCACGTCGCTGACGTCCCGTACGACCGTCTCTTCGGGGAAGCGCAGTTAACTAACCGGTGAGGATACGAAGCTCGATGATAAGAGGGGTTCCCGGGACTCTTTGGGCCTCGATAGAGCCTGTGAGAGGGGAAGGGGAGGTTGTCCACGTCTCGGTACCCAAAGAGAGTCAAAGAAACCCGACGAGGGTCATTCAAAGGGAAGTAGCCGGGATCCGTCGAGGGAAAGCATTCGTTCGGTTGACAGTAAGCACCGGAGAGGGGTTGGTGATCGGAGAGACCAGGGTGTTCCTTTCTAAGGAGGACCTCTTGGAGGTAGTCCGCAGCTTGAAGGCGCACAGGCGACGCAAGACCGTCTAGAGAGGCTTGTGGAAGAGGCAAGTCCTCGAGAGGAGTACCATAGAATCTACCGAGTGACCTACGCGGGTTGGGAAGAAGTACCTCTATTTTTCGACAGTGACCCCGTCGGAGTCCCTCGTTTCATCCTTGAGCGAGTTTATCCCTCGGAAGCGGTCAGGAAGGCGGTGGAACGTAGGATCTCGATCCTGAACCAATTTCGGTTCACAAACTCGAACCTGCATTCCATATTAACGTGGTGCCTTCTAAGTCCATACGAGGACAATTGGTTGTCGCTAGAGGGTCTGGGCTACGCCTTTGAGGGTTGGGGCCAACACGAAGGTGTCGACCATCACCTGGAGGTACTTGGGAAAGATCTGTGAGGCGGGGTTAGAAGGATTAGACCCCTCGGATCTCATACGGATAGCTATAGCGTGCCGACGAAGGAACTTGAGGCATGAGTGAGTCCGACACCGGTGAACTGGTGGGTCTAGAAAGGGTTAGAACGGAGTTATATAGAATATTGACCCTTTGTTGGGAAGAGGAAAGGAGGGCAAGATCAGGGTCCTTACGAAAGATCAAGTTATTAGAGACTGCCACGATAAAGATATTTGACGATTTAAAAGAGGAACTACTCTCCGGGGGAGGAGAGGCATGAGAGCTACCTACACCTCAAACTCGATAATTTGGGAGTTGGATACAAAGGACAACGGCCCCGAGGTCGAGGTAGAAGGAGGAGCGGAAGTTGGCCCAGGCCTTGGAGAGGACCAAGTGGCTCGAGCGGAGAAGAATTTCCTCGTCGAAGTCCGGCGACTGGCCTTCAGGAAAAAGAGGTCCTGAACCACCTTAGCTAGGTTTTCAATCTTTATTAGGGAGGCGAGAGGAGTACGGTTCTCTAGAACTTGGAGGGAACCTTTGTCGGAAGTCGAGAGAAGGTTTGAGGAAGACTCTAGGTGGCTTGGAAACCCACTGGAAGCCCGGGTGCACCTAGTGGAGGCGCGTTTCACGGATAGGACGGGGGAGTACGAGCAAGCCTTGCGTCGGTCGGCACTCGATCAAGGCGAGGGTTCTCGAGGGAGGTGTGAGGATTTGCTAGTCGAAGCGGCGGAGAGGTTAGCTCGAGTGAGGTGAACCAGCCAATGATTAGATACGATAGGGGGAACCCTGTCGGGACCTTGGAGAGAGCTTGGAAGTCAGGGTCCAGGTATGGAGTGACCCTCCCCAAGGTTGAGGAAGAAGGGGAGATTATTACAGAGTTCTTCGAAATCTACGAGCACGAAACGCTAGTGTGTTTCGCGATAGTTTCGTGAAAGGGTGCCCACACGCGAAGGGCAGAGATCTTCTTGTCTCACGACGATAGACAGTTATTTGCCACTGAGTTAGCGGAAGGAAAGGATCCGCTGGGTATCGCAGAAAGAACTCGAGGTCGACTTAGAAGGTTGAGAGGGGGAATAGAGGGAAGGCGTGAAATAGAGAAGGTTAAGTACCGAGGACGATTAGAAATTTCGCGAGCAGTCCACGGCCGGACCTGCGAAGTCCCTGCCTGGGTCTACCGCTTGCTCTACCCCGACGACGCCACAGTAAGGAAAGTTCAAATTAGGGGACAGATCATCGAGAAATTCCCCCTAAGAGAAGAAAAGGGGCACGCGCTGTTTGCCCTGTGTTGGGAGTCCCTGGAGCTTACAGACTTTGAGTGGTGGGCTCTGGTCGGCGATTTTATCAAGCCCCTATTCTCGGGACAGGCCGGAGAAGTGGATAGAGGCCTTATTAGGCGGTGCTCGCAGGAAGGGATTAGGAGTGTCTCAGATCTAGAAATTGCCAACCTTGCGCTAGCAGCTTACGAAGAGAGGAAAGTGCCAGACTCTTGGTGGACGGTGACTAGTGAGGAATCCGAAGGAGATAGTAGTGAGGCACAAGGATCGAGTGAAGCAGAAAGAGGCTCGGAAGAGAGTGGCGGGGCAGAAGGCCGAGGAAGTGACTCTAGTGGAGAGAGCGACTAAGAGTTGTTGCATGGAAAGTGTGGTTGAGCACGGGGTCGTCCGATCTCCTAAGACCACTGCTATGGGGCGAACCAAGGAGGACACCGAATTGGGGGCGAGATTGAGCAAGTCAACCGAAGGAGTGATCAAAGGGGTAGACACTATGGGTAGAGCCTTAAGAAACCTGGAAGAACCCCTCGGAGAGAAAGCTACGAAACCGCGTGCGAGCTCCGATGAGCGTTTACACCGAGAGATGGAACCACGTGCACCTATGAGAGAAAGGGTGGCCGAAGCCACAAGGGGCTTCCCGGTCGAGACCCGATGGGCGGACCATGTGGACACGGAAGAAAGAATCAGCGAAGGGCAGGAGTGCCCTCGTGACAGGGCTGGGTGTTGGGCACCTAGGAGGAGCGATGAAGGTGGCCTAAGGAGGAGGGAACTTGGGGAATGACGGTCAATCGAAATTGGGGGAGGACCGCGAAGATGGGCCGGCCAGGAGACCGGTCTCGCATGGGTGCAAGAAGAGGCGGTAGGAAGGAATATGGGAGGGCCTGGAGAGATCTGGAGAGGGGCTAGGGGCCCGGAGTCCATGCACTGGGAACGCGAAGACCCGGGTTATAGAGGTTGCCGGGAGGAGGAATCATGGGACCTCCGAGACTTCGACCCCGTATGGAGGATTTGGACCCTTCCTGGTACAAGCCTTACGATCCGACTATAGATGGGCCGACCGAAGGACCTTATTTCCATCGGTATGACGACCATCGAGTCCCTTACTACGATGTGAACATGGGGCTGGAGTCGCTCTATTTTAATGAGAGGGACGTGATCGGGTTCGTGGAAAAATGAGAGAGTTACGCCTACCGGAAGAAGTTTTCGGAAAAAAAGTGGATCGACCACTTCATACAACATCGGACCCGGAGCTGGACCAGGCCATTAGGGCCATGTACATGTCTGATGGAAGATGGAAGACTTTCAAGAGAAGACTGTTGAGGATCTTTGCGTGTGACGACAATAGAAGGGCTGCGTCGGGTGACGAGAGGGGAGCAAGAAAGTCTGGTGGCCTTTACTCGGAGGTTCAAACGTTTATCGCAGGCCTTGGTGGATAGAGGGATGCTTTCGGAAGTTGACAGGTGCGTGATGTTCATGTTACACCTGCCTGAAGAGAAGAGGAGGGAGGTCCTCGGAAAGGCCCCTTGGGACTCCGCTAATTTTGAAAGAGTCACCGAAGTGGTCTTCACTGGAGGAGGTGTGGACGTACGGGAATATATGAAGGAGAATCTGGACATGGCCCTCCGGAGTATGCACTCCCAAAAGGGCGACGGTCCATGCGGAAACGAAAGGCAGCCCCTTGGGCCTCCCGCCCAACGCTGGGGAGGAGGACCCCTGGGTTGGCGGAACGAACCTGACAACCAAGGGAACTGGAGGAACGATCGAGAGGCCGGAGGGAATCGGGCCTTGGAATTGGGAAACTCCCGATGGAAGGACGCGAGGGATGGAAGATGGGGAGACCCTCCCCAACCTAGGGCCATGGGGGCTCGACCAGAGGTAAGTCAGGCTAGAACGCCACCGCCTTCCGGGGCTCCCGCGACAACGGGAACGCCCCCTCAAGTCACTCCCCGTCCTAACAACCCGCCGCCTCGAAGCGGGTGTGTCTATTGCAATGAGGAGGGTTACATCAAAAGAGAGTGCCCTTACCTTACGGAAGCCCTAAGATTAGGGGTGGTAAAATTAAACGAGAACAAGTGGGTGGTTTGGGGGGACGATAGGGAAGCAGTTTCCTTCTATCCTTCGATGAAGGTAAATGTGGACAAGAGGATAGCCCTCCAGGAGGCAAGATTAGAGAAAAAGTTCGAGATCGGGAGTACCTCCAACTCCTCCCGCGTCCAAATGACAGAATCGCTAGGAGGCGTGTCCATAAGGGAGCCCCAGGTGTCGAGCATCAAATTCGTTGAGACCCAGCCCGGAGAGGAAGGGCCTTGCCTAAGGGTAAGGACCCAAGTTGGGGCCGGACCGTCTAAAGGCAAGGAAAGCGCGACGGATGGTGGAGGAAGAAGGAACGGCGACGACGACCAACCGATGGTCGACGCCAAAGGCACGGAAGAGAGGAAGGGGGAGGAACCCACTTCACCTAAGTCGCCTAGGAAAAAGGGGGCAAAAAAGTTCGAGATGAAATGCACCTTGGACGAAATAGACATGGTAGCTCCCCTACGGAGGACCCTAATGCAGCCTATGCAATGCACCCTTCTGGAGTACTTAGCGGTCAGCAAGAGCGCTAGGGATGAGTTCCTAAGCATCACAAAGAAAGTGAGAATCCCGCTCGCTGGAGGGCCCACGGTTCCTGGGGATGGGCTAGCCCAAGAAGGAGTGCAGTCCTCCCGGATCACCATGGAAGAACTGCCGGCGAATTTCTTCGCGGAAGAGGAGGCCAAAAGGTTTTATGTATTAGGGAGCGACCAGCTCCAAGCAGTGGTAAGTGGAAAGAAGATGAGGGCTCTGGTAGATAACGGGTCCGAATCCACGGTGTGTAGAGACTCCATTGCCAGGGAGTTGGGTTTGAAAGTAAATAAAGGGGTGTCCATGTCGATGGTGGTTGCGGATAACAAGCTGCAGCCGGCAGAGGGGGTGTGTCATAACCCCATGATCGAGGTTGCCGGCGTCGAAGCCACGGTTCCAGACGGGAGTCAGACCCTCTCGATCCAGAGTCCGGACGGAATCCGAGTCGTCCTAAAGGCTGTGGACGCTCAAGATGAGAGAAACCGGACCAGCATTCCGAGACGTAAAGAAGCCCAGTCGAGGGTGTGCCAAGTCCGTTTGGAAGAATCACCCTTTGATGGTAAGGAGCCCCCGGGGGACCGATTAGACGTCGAGGATGTCAGGGGTCGGGTTGTGATCGATGGGGTAGGATACGAGAACGAGGACGAGGAAGAGGAGCTCGGTGGATACGTAAGGCTGTCTTTTTTGGAGGAATCCCCCTAGTTGGCGAAATCAAGAAGCATAAAACCGTGGCGGAGAAAGTGAAACCCGTTGCGGTCAGCCGGGATAGAACGGGGGAAACTTCGATATCGGAGGAGGAAATCGCCGATATCATCCGAAAAAGGAAGGAGACCGAGGGACAGAGAATTACGGCCCACAGGTTGGCAAAAATGGATATAGGGGATGAGAACCTCACGAACAAGGAGAGGGAGTACGTAGCAATGACCCTAAGGGGCTGCGATAAGGCCATAGCCTTCGATGACTCGGAGAGGGGGAGAATCGACCCTAGGTACGCTAAGCCCGCCCGGATTCATACGATCCCTCACATACCTTGGAAAGATAGACCCCAGTGGAAGTATGTTCAAAAGGAGAAGGAGGAGATAGTGGCCTTCATTAAGGAAACGATAAGAACGTTCGTTGCCGAACCTTGTGAAAGTGCATACTCCAACAAATGGTTCTTTCTGAGAAAAAGGGGTAGCAACAAATTGAGGTGGATTCGGAACCTCCAAAGGACCAACGCGGTCACTATAAGGGGGTCCATACCTGAGGCTGACCTACTTGTGGAAGGGTCGGCAGGTCGCTCAATCTGCGATCTCTTCTCGGGCTATGACGAGATCCCCTTAGACTACCGAGATAGACACATGACCGCCATGCACACGCCTCTAGGACTGGTCCAAATGATGGTGGTACCTATGGGGTGGATGAACGGCGTAGTAGTGTTCCAAAGGGCCATGATAGCAGTCCTCAAAAAGTTCATACCAGAGAGGGTGGAAGTCTTCCTTGATGACTTCCCGATAAAAGGGCCGGTCGAACGGGACGAGACAGAGGTCTTCCCCTGAGTGAGAAAGTTCGTGGTGGATCATATGAAGGATGTCGGGGAAGTCCTTGCAAAATTGGATGACGCCAACCTTACTGTGAGCGGGACAAAGAGCCGTTGGGGAGTGTCGGCAATCAAAATATTGGGCTTCATCTGTGACAAGGATGGGCGGAGACCCGATCCCGCTAAGTTAAAAAAGTTAATGACCTGGCCGTCGCCACTTAAGTCAATCACGGAGGTTAGGCAATTTCTAGAGGTGGTGGGCTACTGGAGAATCTTTATAAGGGCCTACACTGAGCAGGCAGAGCCCTTAGGCGGTTGCTTAGGAAAGCTGAGGAATGGATCTGGGGAGAGGAGCAGGCCGCGGCCATGGAAGTCCTTAAGGGGGAATTTCGCGAAGGGGGACAAGTCTTAGGGGTTCCTTTCTTCGAGAACGAGGAGAACCGCCCCTTTATAGTTTCTACGGACGCGGGACCTTGTTCGGTAGGAGGACTTCTGTCGCAAAAGGATTCAAACAGGAAGGAGAGACCCCTCCGATTTGAGAGTCGGACCTTGAATCCCGCCGAGAGAAATTATAGCCAGTTCAAGAAGAAAGTGCTGGGAGTGTTGCATTGCCTAAAAACCTTCCGTCACTACATCTACGGGAGGCGTTTTCTCCTAAGAGTGGATCCGACCGCGGTGGCCGCCGTGCTTCAAAAGAATTTTTCGCTGAACGATCCGACGATTGTCAGATGAATGATCCACAGCCGACTCTATGACTATAAGGTCGAAAGAATCTCAGAGCCAAAAACCAGGTTGCGGACGGATTGTCCTGACTCCCCATCCGGGAAGAGGATTATCCGAAATTGAAGGAGGTAACCCGATCAACAACCAAGGAAGAAGTGATCCAAGTTGCCGCTCATAGGGCGCGAGTGGTTGAAACCACTCGAGAGGAAGAGGTCCTTAGGGCTTTCCTCGCTAACCTTTACGACAAGAAGTACCGCGGCATAGGACTTTACCTAGTAGGAAGGGCGGAAGGCACCGAGGTAATTAAGAGAGAAGTGCTCGGGTATTGCCGACGGGGATGACACCTCTTTAAGAGGCCTACCAAGTTTGCAATTCCCATGAGGGTGCTTTGCGATCCAAGGGAAAGGAAGGTTGTCATAGACGAGTTGCACGACGCAGTCGTCGGAGGGCATAGAGGGGTAAAAGGGGTTTTTGACAAGGTTCGTAGACTCTATTGGTGGGATGGGCTGTACGGAGAAGTCGAGAAGTATTGTTTGACATGTGAGGTTTGTCAAAAGAGGGCGACAGTTCGCTACAAGGAACCCCTAGTTCCGTCACTCCCCACAGTACCGGACGAAAAGGTCCATGTTGACTTGGTGACCATGCCTAATGGAGTCGGAGGGCTTCGATACATAATCAATGTCCGCGACGACCTCACCGGATTCGTAGAAGCTAAGGCTATTAAAAAGAAGACGGTCGAGGAAGTGAGTGACTTTCTCCTGGAGTACATTGCGCGGTACGGTTGTGTCGGAAGGATAGTTATGGATAGGGGGTCGAAATTCCTAAGTCAAAGGGTCAAGGTGATATTGAAAAAAGCAGGGATTAAGGCGGCCTACACGACCGCCTATCATCCGCAAAGCAACGCTCTGGTCGAAAGAGGTCACCAAACGCTTGTAGACGCCTTGGCGAAATGGTGCAAAGGACGTGCAGAACAGTGGCCGAAGTTTTTACGCTACGCAGTTTGGGCAGACAACATCACGGTCAAATCAAGTACGGGGTACCCTCCCTACACTCTTTGGTTCGGTAGGCATTGTCCCCTGCCCATCGAGTTCCACGTCGACACTTGGACGAGTGTCTCGTGGAAAACCAACATGACGAGATGTGAACTGTTTGAAGCAAGGATACAACAAATAGCCGAGAATTTGGACGTCGGGCTTGCCGAAGCGGGGAAAAACATCGAGAAGGAGAGGGTAAAAGAGAAAGAAAGGTGGGACAAAAACCTGCGGGTTCGGCAAACGCCAATAAGAACTAGTGACCTCGTCCTGATATACAACTTGTCGCTAGAGAAAACTTGGAGCAGGAAGCTAGCCAACAGGTGGATGGGGCCGTACCGGGTCTTAAGGAGATTGGATGGAGGGGCGTACCTCCTTGCCGAATTGGACGAAGCTAGGCTACGGGACCCTATCGCGGGAGCCCGCCTCAAGCTTTTTAGATGCAGAGAGGGCCTTAGAGACAAACCAACAAGAAAGGGCAAGGAAACAACTGACTAGGAAGTGGTCGTTATCCGCGAGGGAGGGGAAACTTCGAAACAGGGATCCTTTTCGCGGCCGCCTAAGAGGGGGTATAAGGTTCGAAAAACTCCCCTGCCAAAGACCCCTAGAAGAAAAAAACAGCCAAGGGAGGATGACAGTGATACCCACCAACTAGGAAAACGCAGGATGAGAGAGACAAGGAACGCTTCAAGAAAAGCCTTGAGGATCAAGCGTGAGAGGGAAGAGAGGAAGAGAAAAAGAGAAAGACTCGAGAGAAAAACGCGGAGACGGAAATGGGAATAGAACCGCTTAGTGATACCAAAAGGGGCAAGGTGCTATAGTTAAGAAGAATGTATTGCACCACAGAAAACATGTGCCGCGGTTCCAGAAGGGGGTGTTGTACCATAGTTCCGCAGGCGGGAAGCTAAGGGAGGGACGAGACCATAATAAAGCGATGCAGTCTAAGAATCGAAAAAGTCAAGCGAGGAACAAGGGACAAACGTAACCTCACATAATAGGGAATGGGACAATGCGAGCCATGGGTCGGGGAAAGTACAACCACTTGGTATGGGAAAAAGGTTAAGAAAAGGGTCTCGAAGGAATGTGGGCTGGTTGTCGGGCGGCTGCCTACCAGCCGAGTACTTCCTTTATCAAAAAAAGGAGAAGATTTTTTTGATATTGCTTCGATTTTTGCATGTTTTTTTTGTATGTATGGATGTGCCTGAGGGGCTTGGGGAACATTTGGGGTCTTGGATTGTTGTGCTAACGTTTGTGCAAACAGGAGGAAGGTGGTCAATGTCAGGACGCGAGTGGGGGCGGGAGCAGGCCAAAAATCCGAGATTTTCGTGCAACGCATAAGAAATGAGAGAAACATGGTGGGCCTTGGGCCGATGCGCCGGAAGAGGGTTGAAGACTCGGGCTTTGATTCGTAGCGGCGGCTGGACTACCATGGGTGTGCGCGGCAGCCTTGGATATGCAAGGCGAAGAGGGGGACCTTCGGGACGGGGCGTCGGACCAGGGCGCCTAAGGCCAACGAAGGGCAACTAACTGGAGAGAAAACCCTCTCCTTGATGCCTCCGGGAGCGGATAGGCGGGGCAGCAAGAAACGACAATCTGCTCGGTCAACACAGGTACTAGGCGCGCTGCGGTGGGGATCCGCGAAGCCATGCTGGTGTGGGTGACACGCAAGACGATCCTTTGTTGGTCGACAACCGGCTAAGCTCTGCCTCGGAGGTACAAGAGCTCAGCAAGGCGATGTTCGGGCTGGTCCGCGCGGTGATGGGGACCAATGAAAGCCGCCGTTGGGAGACGGAGGGGCCGAGCTGGGATGAGTATGTCGGCAACCCCTCGGTCGGAAAGGAGAGATGACCAAACGCTGAAGGGGTCCCGGATCGGGAAGACCAACAAAATTCGACAACGAGGCGGGAGTAGCAAAGGATTGTCGACCGAAAAGAAACTACGATAGGAGGGGACGCGGGAAGGATGCACCACGAGAAAACGGGGGGAAAGGACGGAGTACGACGAAAGGGAAGAGCGCGCTCGCGAGATCTTCTTGATAACTGCCTTGGGCCGGTGGCCCGTGCGCCTTGAGTTCTTGCCAACCGCCAGCGAGGAAGTAAAGCGGGGAGTGACAGGCGAAAGGTGAATGCAAGATGTGTGTAATCGAATACAAGTTACCTTGTATGTTGTATACAACTTTGCGTTTTTTCAGGGGCGAAACCTACCTCGTCCTTGCCTCCTTGTCGCTGGCTGTCGGACGCTGTTCAATTTTTTATTTTTATTTTTTATTTTTTTATTTTTAAAGGCTACCAATTCAATTACCTGTCAAATTTGGACAGGGCGACCTTTCAGGCTTTTTTTATCGTCATTATAGTATTACGGGGAACCCCGTTGTCGGTGCGAATACCCTTACAAGGGTATCCGCCCTGTTTTTTTGCAAATGACAGAAAATAAGTTTGGTTTAAAGTTTGAGTATA